CTGATTTTGGCCCGCAGTAGTGAACCCCGTATATTTTTGTTTTTTTCTTGTTCTCCTTTCTTTCTTTCTTACTTTGTTTTTTTTTTTTTTTCATTTTCATTTTCTTTTTCTTCCATTCTTCAAGTCTTTCTTTCTTTCTTTCTTTCTTTTCGAATGATCGGCCTTTCGGTGGGCTCCAACGGCGGAACCTGTTGCCAGTTGTCTCTACTTTCGTAGTCCCGGGTCTCTCGGCCTTGTACTTGTTTTCCGTTTCCGCCCTTCTGAAGACTCGTTGATACCCGGAGGACTATTTAATGTGTGTCGTAGCCTTCGGTCCACTTACTGTAGGTTTCCATGTGAATGCATGTACTTTGGATCTTTACCAAAATGCGCTCGTAGATGTTTGCCGTTTGGACGGTTGTGTAGGTTTGTAGGTGCGTGGTGCGTTGTACGTCTACGGAAGTTGGGTACAAGTACGCCACTCGTTGAATTAGGGGTTGTTGTCGTTGCTTTTCTTGCCACGGGCTTGGTGGAGGCCCCATTGTCTGTCTGTTCTGTTGTTGTGGACATGTGTGCAAACCATGACAGTATCCGTATATGAGTGTACACTAAGTGTGTTTGCTGTTTCCTTTCTCTGGCTGTATATTCTTTCATACAGTGACCTGTAATTTATATGCTGGGTTTGTTAGCATGAACCCCTCTTCTCCCTCTTCCACGTGTGCACGCGCTTCTCTCTTTCCCACCCTCTGTCTGTCTGGCTGTTCTGTGTTGTGGTCCTGACCAATTTCGGAGTGTTCACTTGGCAGAAAGTTCAATGGCGTCCAATTGCAAAAAGAAATCTTTAAACATGAGGGGAGAGAGAGAAAAAAAAGTCATTGTGAATCCTGCTTCCTCCCCTCTTATTCAAACAAGAAAGAACAATAATAATGTTGAATGGCTGAACATCATCTATGTTGCATTGACGAATCTCTACCGCAGGAAGAAATCCTGCATAGGTCAAAGATATGCATGGACAACACAAAGCAGTTTTGTGGTCTGTCTGCTCCGTCTGTTGTGTCTGTCTGTCTGTCTTTCCATCTGTCTGTCGGTCTGCTCTGGTTTGTATGTTTGTCTGTCCATCTGTCTGTTTGTCAGTTTGTCTGTCTGCGCCTCGTCTGGTCATTCAGTCAATCAGTCAGTCAGTCAGTCATTCAGTCTGTTTGTCTGTATGTCTCTCCGTCTGTTTGTCTGTCTGTCTGTCTATCTGTCTGTCTGTCCGTCTATTTGTCTGTCTGTATGTTTGTCTGTCTGGTCTGTAAGTGGATGAACCAGAATGAAAGACTGTCTGATGGTCCAACATGTATGTGTGTTTGTGTGTGTGTGTGTGTGTGTCTGTGTGTGTGTGTGTGTCTGTGTGTGTGTGTGTGTGTGTGTGTGTGTGTGTGTGTGTGTGTGTGTGTCAAACTGTCTGTTTGTCAGTTTGTCTGTCTGTCGCCTTGTCTGGTCATTCAGTCAGTCAGTCAGTCAGTCAGTCAGTTTGTCTGTATGTCTCTTCGTCTGTTTGTCTGTCTGTCTATCTGTCTGTCTGTCTGTCTATCCGTCTGTTTGTCTGTAAGTGGATGAACCAGAATGAAAGGTTGTCTGATGGTCTAACATGTCTGTGTGTGTGTGTGTGTGTGTGTGTGTGTGTGTGTGTATGTGTGTGTGTGTGTGTGTGTGTGTGTGTGTGT